CCCATGCCATTGTCTTGGGATTCTTCTCCTTCTTGTATGCCTATTATTCGCAAGTTTGGTCTTTTTATGGTATCAATTCCTGCATATTCCATTTTTGTGATTTCTTAAATTTTTCATAGTCTTTGCTTGAGTGGTCTAGCTTGTCCACTTTATCTTCCAGTCTTTATACTCTGTTTTCCATTTCATTCATCCTATTGGTGAGGCTTTCTCCTGTTGTTTCTAATTGGCTTACTGAGTGTTTCACTTCCTTTTTCATTTCGGCCTGAGTATTCTTCAATATTTCTAATTCTTATGAATGCATTCAGAAGTTTATTCCTATCTTCTTTCAGTTCTTTCATTTCTTTGTGTGTCTGTAAGTTCACAGAATTCTTTAAACATGTGTATAATTCTTCTTTTGAATTCCATGATCTGTGTTATATCCAGGGAATTCTCAATGTACTCCTCTACAGGATCACTGGTAGTTGGTAGGGGTATATCATTGGGTTTTTCATGTAATGTTTCTGCTGTGATTTTGACATGTGGATTTCTTTTGTAGTTTCTAATTCTTTTGTGAGACTCAGCGCTTCAAGTTTAGGTCTGCTTCTTTTTTGTGAACTTTATGTGTCTTTGTGGTTTACTTTTTGGGCATGAGAAGCTGGTTCCTCTAAGCTTCTGGTTCTCTCTTTTGATTTTATATTGGAGTGGCCAGATTGCTTTTGTCTTCAGGAGTTCCCACAGAGGCCCAAACTGTGGCCCAATTCCAATGTGGGTCAGAAGTTTTCAGACTTTCTTCTTAGGTCTGGAATCTTCTAAGAATGATTTTGGCCTCAGGAACTTGGGTGTTGGACTGACCTGAGATCCTGGCCATGGCCACGCCACACAGGGATGCAAAGGCAGATGGGGTGGTAATAAGCCCCAAGATTTCCCAGGGAGTGGATTGAGTAACTGGGTTGTACCCAAGAGAGGCCTGAGGGCAGGAGCATTTCTTTAGTGTTTTATGGTTTAAGTTGTTCACATACTTCCTTGTTGTGATATATGGTGTAAGAATCCAGCTAACCTTTATCTCTAGATCACTGAATAATCATCTTAACACAATTTGATTATTTTATATTTTGTGTGCTTGAGATGAGAAGGCATTGAGGTTCTTTTAAGTATAGTAAGCTCCCAAATAGACATCTTAAAATAAAGTTTAAATGTTATTAGAATTTCCAGTAGTATGTTGTCAGTTTTGGTACTCTAGATAAAAATTAGTATCCTTCAGCTGGGCATGGTAGTGTATGCCTTTGATCCCAGCAACTTGGGAGGCAGAGGCAGGTGGATCTTTGTGAGTTCGAGGCCAGCCTGGTGTACATCACGAGTTCAAGGCCAGCTGGGGCTACAGAGAGACCCTGTCTCAAAAAGACCAAAAAAAAGGTGTTGAAATTTCTGTTCTGATAAACTATCAGGAACATGAAGCCCACTGAAGTAAGCAAAGTGTCCCAGAGGAGGCAGAATAGCTGTCACATTCATTACTAAACCTCCTGTTCTCAGGTGCTTGGATGCCCTCAAATTCAGTATGTAGCTCATGGCGACCTCGAACTTTCGGTCCTCCTACCTCTACCTCCTGAATGCTGGGATTGCAGACATTTGCTGCTATGCCAGTTTATAGACATAGTTTTAAATAATAGTATGGCTATTTATTCCACAAAGGGAAGGCCTATTTTCGGACAGATTGGAGGGGAAAGAGTAGGAGAAGGAGGAGATGGAGAGGGATAGAGGTGGGGAGGGAGAGGCATGGCACTTGATAACCACAATGAAGGATACATACAAATTTCACAAAGAAATAAAAAAAATTTATTTTTTTTATTTTTATGTGTATGAGTCTTATGCCTATGTGTATATAAGCACACCCATGTCGTGCAGTGCTCATGCAGGACAGAAGAAGAGGGCATTGGATCCCCTGGAACTGGATTTATTTGTCGTTGTTAGCTGCCATTGGGTGCTAGGATTTGAACCTGGGTCTTCTACAATAACAGTACTCTTAACTGCTGAGCCATCTCTCTAGCTCCTCACAAAGAAATTTGGGTTCTTTGGTAGAGATGAAAAAAGTCAGGCAGTGGGAACATGAGTAGCCATCTAATTAATTAATTATTTTTTAAATGTGTAAGAGTCTTTTGCCTGCATATATGTAAGTGTACTTGTGTCATCCAGTGCCCACAGAAGCCAGAAGAGGGTGTTGGACCTGGAGTTATACATAGGGTTGTTAGCTGCCATGTGGGTGTTGGGAACTAAACTTAGGTTCTCTGCAAGAGCAGTCCATGCTCTTAGCCACTTGAACCAACTCTCCAGGCTGTAGCCATCTAGTGACATTAGTTGGAGACAATCAGTTCTTCTCACCTTGTTTGATCTTGGGAGTGTCACAAAACCAAAGGAGGTACAATGACTGATGTAAAATGACACTGAATCATTCAGGAAGGTCAAATGATGTTGTTATGCTCATTTACTATATGAAAGAATGAGGTGTATTTTTGAATGACTTGAAAATATTTAAGACAATTGAAGAAATTCACTTTATGTAGATAGTTTTTAATTATCTCATGCCCTTAACGTGACTTCAGTGGACTCCAGGGGCTCTGTGAGGTCGCTTAATATTGATCAGAGAATTTGATGAATGTGTATGTGTTTTTGAGGAGAGAGACCTTATCTTTTGTCTAACTCTGAAATTGAGAAAAAATATGTAAAGAATGGTAGGGACTGGAGAGATGGCTCAGCGCTTAAGATCACTGGCTGGTCTTGCAGAGGACCAGGGTTTGATTCTTACCACCCACCTGACAGGTAACAACTGTCTGTAGCTGCAGTTCCAGGAGATCTAACGTCCTCTTCTGATCTAACGTCCTCTTCTGACCTCTGTGGGCATTGCATGACATGGGTGCAATTACATACATGTAGGCGATACATTCATGCACATAAAATAGAAATAATACATAAAATACTTTTTAAAATGGTAAAGGTATCTGAAAAAAACTTTATTCATCTATATGAACCCAAAGATGCTAGCTAAGTGCTATAGCTATACTGTGCTAAAAAGTTGTAGTTACCAAGTTATACATTTATAACTATATACTTGGTAGCAAGTTATACTTCACTTATGTTATTAATAATAATCCCTTTTCTTCCATTTAGTCATTAATTGACGTGTATGTTCATAGTTTGTACTCAGTGGAATCTGCGGTAACTTATGAATATGAAAGGTAAGTGTAGCATATGTGTTAAAATTTTAAGGTAAC